GTGTGTGTGTGTGTGTGTGTGTGTGTGTGTGTGTGTGTGTGTGTGTGTGTGTGTGTGTGTGTGTGTGTGTGTGTGTGTGTGTGTGTGTGTGTGTGTGTGTGTGTGTGCCGTGCGCGTGTTCATGTGGTCGCCTTTCACGGTCTGTACCTGGTGCCGGTTGATGATGCGGCCGCGGAATTGCGTGCGGATGGTGGAGATGAGCATGTCTGCTTTGCGCGGCCCAAGACCGCACACAAACTGCCCAGTAAAGTGCACAAAACACACGGAACACGCACGCGACACACACACACACACACACACACACATGCAACGCAGGAACATGTCGAGCGCATTGTGAGCTGATGGGAGGAGAGGGGAAAGGTTACATGTGACCTGACACGCCAATAGTCAGAAGAACACGCAATGGTGGGGAATTATTGCACTTTCGTCGACAAACAGCTGCTTCCCCATCACAATCGTACACGCACCTCGAGGGCGTGTGCGATGTGGGGTTTGCTGACGGCGCTGTTGATGCGAACACCGGTCCGGTTGACGGCAACCATCACCTGTCGACAAACAAATGGTGGCGATGGAGGCAGGCCACACCCTGAACGTGTGAGTATCGCACAACAAGATAAAACATCAAACAACATCAACCAACCAACCAACCAACCAACCAACCAACCAACCAAGCAAGCAACAAACCAACAACCCAACAATCCACCACCCCAACGCCCCAACGCCACAAGGATGCGACCTCGCGGTAGAGGGCATCAAAGAGGTCGGCCTGGCTAATGGACTTCTGCAGCGGATGCATCTGGATGCACAGGATGTCCTTTCCAGGCCCAAACAGCGCTGCCATCTCAAGCTCTGGCGCCTGTGCAACCGTGATTGGTGGTTTAGAGAAGGAGCAACCAGAGGGAGGTGAGGAGGAGTGGGTGGTGATGAAGAAGATGAACGCTTCGGAGAGTGCCATTCTTTGGTGGTATTGCCATCACACACGCTCGGGCACACACAAACACACACACACACACATTTATACGCACATGCACCCACAAGCACACAAGCACACACACATGTACCTGCATGCGGCGAGCAATGGAGACTGCCATCTTGAGCTCCGTGGGGTACTTTGGAAACTCCTGTGCGCTGCGGCGGCCGCTTGCGTACACGCGGGCCATATCCACGGGCATCAACTCAACCTCCACAGGCGGCTCTCCCTCCCGGTACAACGCATCCTCAACAACAGCGCCTGCACGCGCGAGAACGGTCCCAGTGTGAGCGCATGCGTGCGGGTGTGCAATGGTATGTGCAATGGTACGTGCAGCGGTGTGTGTGTGTGTATGGTTATGTGGGTTCCTTCCTCTCATCAGAACAGATCAACGGTGGACAACGCACTGAGCTCGCGCGCGAAGAACTTTGATGCGACGGAATCGGCGCCGAGGCCGACCACGTACGGCTGGTGCTTCTCCAGGAACACCCTGATGGCAGTGCGAAGACATTGACGTGTTGGTGCGGGCAACGGAGGGCGGTGGCGACGAGCGTAGCGCGAACGATGGAGGTGAGGGAGTAACAAGGATGATGTTCATGATGATGGCAGACATGGCACACAATGGGTGATGCACAGCAGTGGTGCATCAGCAGGCGGGGGAGTGAGGGTGTGCGCATCAGAGCAATCAGGAAGTAGCGCATCGCCATCTCTTCTTCACCCACTTGATCTTCTCAAGATCCTTGCGGAACTTCTCAACACGGTCCGTCATGCGCCTGGACAGCAGTGATGCACAAACACACGTGGTCGAGTCAGCAGGTGTGTCGTGATGCAGGAGGGAATAAGCGAGAGCAGACATACATGCTATTCTGCACGCACAGGCACACGGGCACACACACGCACAATCACACACATTGCACAATCACACACACACACACACACACACACACACACCTGGCGTGGAGCCAGTCGAGGCCAACGTGGTCGATGACATCGCCCTCGGGCCCAATCACAACCATGAACGAACGCGTGCCAGCAGGCGCAAGCACAAGCGCAGCAATGTTTTGCTCTTCAGACACAAGCACACACACATACACAAGCGAACGTGATGCAGTCGTTGGTGAGCATGTGTATTTAACACAGGTGAGGTTCTTGGAAAGGTAATGCGTGGGCACACAATCACAGCCACACGGCTTGAGAACATGAACACGCATTTGCCATATGTGGGCACCAGACCTTGGTCGAGGTGCGGTGGCTCGACGGGCCGGCGATTGACAATGTTGCGCACGTAGTTTGCACACTGTTCAACCACGAACATCTTGGCTTCCTCGCGCAGCTTGATGCGGAGGTCTCGGATCATGCTCTCGGCCAGCATCTCGTGCGCCATGTCCAGCGCCTGCACCCAACACCACACGAGCACAGCCCGGTCAACATGTATGTATGAACACACGTGTGCGTGCGTGCGTGCGTGCGTGCGTGCGTGTGTGTGTGTACGCATGCGAGGGTGACATATGAAAGCAAACATATATGCGGCAATCATGCCAGCCTGCTCCTGTGTCACGTGAGCGCACCTTCTCAAACTCCTTCTGCCACTCGGCCGTCGTCATTGTTGGCGGATCAGGCTGGCACTTGTCCTGCAGACACACAAAACCAACATATGTGCACGCGCGCGCGTGTGTGTCAGTGAGCGAAAACAAATTAGCGCGTGTGCGCGAATGTGCAGTAGGTGTGCGTGTGTGCGTACACTATGAGTGAGCCAACTACCAGCAAAATACAGCGCAGTTGCAGAACAGTGGGCGCTGGTGCTGCACAGACCATGATGAGCTGCTTGATGTTGGAGATGATGGCACCATCAATGAACATGTCAAGCTGAATACGGCAGAGAAGCAAGAAGGCGGAATCGAAAGGGGTGTGAGCAGTACAGTCAAGAACAACAAGCGTGGCATTGAAGCGTACCCAAGTCAGAACAAATGGCACAAGCAAACAAGTAATCAGTCAGACAACACGCAACCACAAGCACCACGGCAGGGGGGGGGGGCGGGCAGCGGCACCTTGAGTTTCTTCTCTGCAACGGCTTGCTCCATCCACAAGAACGTGTCGTCGTACAGCGTCGAGATTGGCTTCTCCGTCAAGAACCTGAACCAAACACACCCACACCCACACACGCCGTATAAGCACTCGCCACCAAAACCACCGGGCTTCCCCTCTCTCATCGCCGCCAACCACAAACCACCACGGACCACCAGTTACAACAGCACCACCACCACTAGCAGCAGCACCACCACCACCACCGTCACAAGCCAGCACCAGCCAGCACCAGCCAGCACCAGCCAGCACCAGCCAGCACCAGCCAGCACCAGCCAGCACCAGCAGACCTGAACTTTGCGATGCGCTCCCAGGGCTCGACGGTCTGGTATCCTGTGCGGGTCGGGCGCGTGGTGATGAAGACGCCGCCGCCACCGCGGATGGCATCGGCCAGCTGCTCCCGCCAGTGCGACTTGATCTCGGGGTGCATCGCAATCTCAACCGCCAGGCAGTACCGCGCTGCCTCAACAACCTGACCCACCGCAGCGGCGTGGTTTTGCGTCGTTATCCGTGGGTGTACGCACACGTGAGTGAGCGTGAGCACAGAGAGAGAGAGAGAGAGAGTGTGTGTGTGTGTGTGTGCATGTGTGTGTGTGCATGTGTGTGTGCGCGCGAGTGAGAGAGACAAGGACAGTGATTGGGTGCATTTGTGGGAAGAGTGGTGTAAAGATGCGCGCTCGTGTGTGCGCATGGGCGTTGATTCGTAAAGCGCTCGTTGTGAACATCACCAAACCTGCACACATGGCACAGCGTGCGCACCTTCTCTGTTGTGTCAAAGGGGGCGATGGCAAAGTCGACGGCGGTGTCCTCCGGCATCTGGTGGTCCGGCGTCATCTGGCAAATCACCCATCGCCAACATCATCATTACCATCAACAACATCACTGGTGAGCAGTGTGCAGGTCATCACTGGCATGCCCCGTGGGGGGGGGGGCACAATAAACCCCAGATCAACGCCATGTCAGCATCATCGCTGAATGGCTGGATCGATGGCATCATGGACATACCGTCACGGCGCGGGCGCGAAGGAGCACGTCCGCAATCTGAAGACGGAAACGCAGTGGCAAACAAGAGCAGCAAGAAGCAGAAGCAAAAGCAATGGTGTGACGGGCGTAATGGCACACTGACAGAGAGAAAGAGAACACGCACATACCCACACGCTTGCATGTGTACACGCATATGAAGAGAGGACACACAGAGCACGAGTGTGAGTACAAGCAAGTGCGGCTGTGGCGACTGACATCGGTGACGGAGACACCAAAGTGCTTGATGAACTTGGTGATGCCGAGGCGTTCGCACACGTGATATTGCCGGCTCGTCTTGCGCTTCAGCGAAGTGTCGCCCTGGTGGCAACAACGGCACACGAAACGATAATGGGGTGGCAGGAAGCAGGCGACACAAGAGTTGTTTGTCAGGCACTCGATCGTGCGTGTGTGTGTGCATGGGTGTCTATGTGTGTGTATGTATTTGCCCCGAGCAGTCGCGGTGCGCAGTCCACCACAGTCCCAAAAACCGACCTGTGATTCCTGCGCGAAGAAGTACGATAGGTAATCGGAGCAATCGCGAAGGCTGTCCTCAAATTGCACCTGACGTAGTCGTCATGCGCCGCAAACCAGCCGGCCATGCACGTGAGGGACGTCGTTGGGTCATTGAGCTACTCAGCATCACACACGCAAATACACACAAACATGCAGAAACGCACATCAACACTCATGCAGAAACGCACACTCATGCACACACCCACTCATACACGCAAACGGAATAGCACCTCTTGCATGAAGTTGCGCTCCGTCTCTGTGAGGAGACGAAGGCGGTGGTCGTCTTCGTCAAGGACCTGAAATGAGAGAAAACGGGAAGCGAGGAGAGGAAGTGGTTAGGCATCACGCACGCGCATGCGTACTTGGTGGTGAGCACATGGCAACACGGCAGGCATCATCATCATCATCGTCA